AAATTGATTTTAAGTCATGATACATGTATGCAAGGATTTAGTGTAGTCAAATTTCACACACTCCATCTTGTTCCATTCGACCGAGCTCCGGTGGGTCGCAAATCAGTTCTGATTTCGCACTTTTGTGCTTCATACATTTTTCCATTTCAAGTTTCTCATAAACAAATTGGATAGAACTATTTATATACACTATACATAGCTACTGATTTTTTCCTGGACCCAACAGGCAAGGGAATGGCCTGATAAATGCATTTTACACATAGTGAACCCTTTGCACATCGTGACACATGACAGTACCCCATTGATATGTCTACATTGGTGGCTCTATACTACCTCTCAACTCTTGGCAACATCAGTCAAGCTGGAACTATGCTCACGGCCACAGCTCAAATCATACGGCCAGTGCATAGGTTTTTTACGCTCCGCGATGTGAACTTGATGAAGTAGGCGCTCTCCCTTGACCACCCCCACGTCTGCCACTCCCGTACTTCTGAATCATATATTGTCCATACCTCGGGAGACCGCATGTGAGCTCTCTCATAATCTACTTATTCCACGGAACTTCATTCAAGCACCAATGGAAATGCAATCACATCGACTGCAATAAGTAAAAGCGAAAAAAGACAATAATTTAAGAAGGAAACACATCAATGAGATATTGAAAAAATCCCCGGTGGGTCGAGGTCAATGAATCAAAGACACATGGCAACGATCCAGGACCACCTATGGACTCCGGGTGCAATCTGGTATATATGGTATGGAACCCTCAATGTGTTGGATAACTCGAGTAAAATCCACTACTACTATTATTGGTTATGGTCTTCAAAACGGTCGGGAGCTTCCAATAACGTTGCTCCACCCCGCGTGCTGACTCACATATCTCAATCAACAAAGAAATACCAACAACTCTGAGCCTCTGGAAAGAAGGCCGTACTTTGTCTGAGATGATTTACGTACTTGAGCGCTGAGCTTGAGCTTGAACACAACACACAGAGCGCCACTTGAACGGACGTGTCTTGAAAGATAAAAAGAGTCTTGGGCTTGAGCTTGCAAGCCCATCAGTCACAAAAATGTATCGTCTCAACCTCAGCCCGATCTCTACATGTACACTCACTGAACTGGATTTGAGCACTATTCCATAGGATCCGTCCGACACGGCTGCTGTGATAATGCATATCATGCACTTGATTGTAACAGTACCCTGCTACTCCTCGAGCTTCATCCCTTGATACCATCGATCTCCCGCAACAATGGAGGACACCGACAGCGTCAAGCACCTCGTGCGCATCCTCCACAACCTATCCATCCCTGAGCCCGACCCCATGCTAAACCCCGCTTCTCCCTCACCATCACCCTACAGCACGTCGCTGACGTTTGCATGCACAGCATCAAAGCCATATACACCCGCGTTGTGCATGCAAGCGTGCTCGATGCCATCATATGCATCATTGAGGCGTGGTTCACAAGTAGGGGGTGCGCATGACTGCGACGGGAATGCCGAGGGAGACGAGGGAGTAGAGGCAGGCGAGGAAGGATGAGAGGAGCAGGAGTGGGGCTCTCTGCCGGTTCAATCGTGTTCTTCACATTCCCTTGACGCATCCCTGTATTTATAACGTACTGCAGATGGCAACGACCCAAGTTACCACTAGGCCATTAATGCTCGAACGGATACTTGATGTGGAGCGCTACGGCTCTGGCCCACTGCAGCAAAATCCACACTAGGACAATAATAATCCACGGCTGTCAGACTCGGCTTTGAGAAAAAGACACTAATGAAGGTTGTTGACGCAGAGGTTGACTGATTCAACGATAATTTTCATCCAGCGCAGGAGGACTTGATATCAAGGGTCTGCAAAGTTGAAAGTGGAAAAAGTGTCTAGTCTCCTAAATTATGCATTAAGGGGGAATCGAACCCCCGGCGGGTCGAATATACACACCAATCCAAGGATGGCAACGACCCAGGTTACCACTACCCCATTAATGCGTCTGAGACTATACCGCTTTATAATCACCTGATGACGCTGAAAGAAACCGAATCTAGACAACTCGAGTAAAAGAACAGTCACGAAAGAAAGGCTACAAGTTTAGGTGATCTCTCGCGACGATGGATGACACCGACAGCGTCGAGCGCCTCGTGCGCATCCTCCATCCCCGCGCATACGTCCGTACACGCCCACCTCGCGCGACTGCGACGGGCGTGCAGAGGGAGACCAGGGAGCAGAGGCGGACGAGGAGGGATGCCGCTGCTGTGGCTGCGGCACAGAGGGAGCGGTTGCAGGGGGACCTAGTGCGCACAGCGACGGTCGGGCTGCCCCTGCCGCGTGGCCCTGGTGTGGAGGATGCGACGCCCGGACTTCAGGTTTAGAGGGATATAGTACGCGCCTCGACGGGCAACGACCACACATTGAAACAGGCGTTGAAACAGGCGCCGCACTGGGCGACACATGCGCATACGGATACAACGACGCGGTGCTGAGTGTGCAGCTGCTGGCGGTCCTGAGCAAGGACCCGCGTGAGGCATGCGTTCTATGAGCCCCGGACGCGCGCGGGTGCGAGCACACCGACGAACATGTTCACACTCGTCGAGAGGCTCACGTTCAAGCCTTCGCGCTCTGAGGGTGGAGTCGTTGGCGAGCCCGCCGCCGGTGGTGCCGCTCCGGATACAGTACTGGGTGGGGGTGATGCGGAATGCGTGCAGGAAGTACGAGAGTGAGAGCGGAGGTGAGGCCACGCAGCGGTGTGCGAACAGTGAGTTGCCTTTTCCTCGGGAGGGACGGTGCTGATTTAGTCGGTGTATTAGTGCTTCGTGGGGCTGGGAGGAGCAGGCGCATCGATTTTCAGCGTATAAGCGCTGTATATTGTGGGAAGGAGTGTTTCTCGAGGCGTGGAGAGAGGCGCATAGGTTTTGGTGCGTTGCGAAGGATGATGATGATGTGAGGGCGTAAACGGGGCAACCTTCTGAATCTACCAAAAGACTGGATCTGGATTGCGCCATAGTATTCCAGTAGGTCCACCGAAGGGACCCCGTCGCACAATTACTCGCCAAAAATGTACGATCCAAGAAGGTATTCCGAAAGCAGCGCGCAGTCGTCGCTGCCGCAGGGGCGCCACACAAAACCCTAACCTTGCGGTGCATGGGACTGTTGAGGTCGCGCGGGACCAGGCTGTGGCTATAAACGGTGAGTGCTCGCGATGATGAAGGTATTCATGGCGACAACCTCAAAGGGTAGGAGGAGCGTGACGAGAATGGTGGGGGTAAGACGGGATTGACAAAGAATATCATCCAATGAGCGTGATGATGAAGGCGGGAAGAAGTTTTTGATGATTTGGTTGCTGTAAATCGATTCGTGCTAGAAGATTGATTTTTTCTGTGATGAAAATGTTTTGCTACTGTTCGTGTACTATATCACCCGGTTGTATGTACGCCTTTACTTGTTTGTGTTGGTATCTTCAAAACCTGCCAACTACGGAAAGATATATATATCATGAACAGCGCACCAAGTCTTTGTAACCATAAAATCGTCTACTTGATACTGCTGACGGTACTCCGAGTAATTTCCACGCGAAGAGGCTCTCGCCACGGACACCCCTGCTCCTCTGTCGACCCAGAACCCATTTTCAGGGACTTGCCTAACTCGATATCACGGTCGCACTGATCTTGGGTGTTGATCATGGTAGCGTTCGTTTCAGGTGGAGACTAATGGTAGAGCTAGATGAGACTGGTGCCTCTGTTTTCAGAAAACGAATATGTACCGTTGATTGCGAGGCAAAGTTGACGTCGGTAACGATACTGCTTTCCCCGTTGAGACTTCGCAGGGTTGTTCGAGCATTGAGACTATTGTGGCAGCGATAGAAGACTTGATAATAAATCAATGTGGGACTATACGTACGACGCCATAAGTGTGTTGGAATAGACTTTGCATATATAGTCAAATATTTATCGTAAAGGCCATGAAAAGAGGTATACATACGTCGAGTTGTGATGAGGAAGACTGCCACCCAAATATAGTCATCTAGCACAAGAAACTTGAGAGAATAAGTATCGCTAGTAGATGGATGCGATGACTCCCCACCAGAATAATCTGAGCAAGTGTTCCAAAACTAATTGATTGTTAGCACGGTGTATTGCATGCAGCGCAAAACCACCTCTTGTACCTTGTTACCATTCCCGTCTCTTCAAGTTCAGAGACATGACAAGGTCAGATTTCCCTATGTTCATTGTTTTCTTTATACTTACGGACAGCCCATAAAATGAGCCTATCAACCATCGCCTTCGTCCTAAGTGTATCAATTCTGTACTTAACGTGCAGGAATGCGCCACATAATCATACAAACCTTTCAAGAGGTGTGTTACGATGGGGCCACAAATAATAGCACAAGGACGCCGTGATCAATATATCATTCGCTGGAGAGATCGCAAGTGTTGTTATGAACAGCCATCGCCACCTCTCGTTGCTAGCCATGAGATCGGGTGAATCACGGATAACACCTCCAAGAGCCAGGTTGGAAACGCATCGAAGGAGGCACAACAGCCACGCAATATATGGAATAGGGCATCTGGCGGACCTGAGCATGCGAATACGATACGTGAAGAATGCCTGTAAAGATACAGCTTGGACGCTCTACAAGTCTATGCATTGCTTACCTGGATCGAGGAGGTAACGAGTCCCGTCACAATTACGACTATATATCCCCCAGTCGGGAGCTCGATTATCGTCTTGGGATCTCCGTATCCTGTGACCGAATACTTTTGTTGCTAAATCAAAAGGAGAATTGTATATTGGACAGTGTTTCGGCCCACATAGTAAATGTACTGGGTTAATGCGATTGCATGAACAAGTTCCATAGTCCTAGTAAAGGCTCTCAACATTAGATTGATCTAGCTCTTTTTTTTCTCACCATATTACGCCAACCTAATAACAGAATGCTTCAGAATTGCATTCCATATGATGTTAGAACTCACAAAGGCCTTGAGTGGGCATGCGTCTTCGGGGAAACTCCTGTTGGGCGTTTAAACCACACAGTTTCAAAGTACGGGTCAAAGCTCACTTGTAGTATGTAAACGTCTGGACGGTTGCCATTCCAAACAGGAAAATGGAGATGAGGGCTGCGATCTCAAGAGCACCGATTGTTGACGGGACGTCGAACATTGTGCCCTAGAGTTTTGCAGAACCTGAAAGATGGTCAAATGTCAAAGGATCGGTCAGGGTATGTATTCATATTCTCATGGCTTTGGTATTTGTCCCCCTTGATCGTATGAGCATCAGTGATGTTTCATGTGAGTCCAAATCCAAATTGTTTCCTGACATTCTATACAAATCAGGGTTTGTTTCGACTCGACTTTTCGCACAGTCTCGAGGTTTTCTGCCGCCAGTCTCGGTCAAGTTATTCACAGGCCTCCGGAATTCTAGATTTTGCAAAGCTTCAGTTAGACGCCGGGGCAATGTCTATTATTTGAAAAGACACATCTATGACATACCTGGGGTAAGGATAACCATCACACCGTTGAATTGACGGAGATTACAAACAACAGCTCTCACGGTGCTTTGGCTGTGTTACTCGTATGATATCAGCTCGAACGAGTGCTTAAACGAGAAGATTTTATCTGATCGATCTGCGATCTACCCAAACCAGTCATGGCCAGTGTATAGAGTTTGTGTCATATCTACTCAGAATAGACCTCATTCAGATATCTTGGAAATAGTGATCATCTGGACAAAAGACATGGCGCCTTTTAGAGTTTCGTCCATGTACAACACTTGGGTTATCGCGGAGTTGTAGTCTTTAGAATTCAGTGTGCATAGCTATGTGCATGGTGTATCCCCGAGCTTAAAAGAGAAGTATGGCCTGTCCCTTTCGAGAGTGCCTGCTTCGTAATGAATTATTCGTACAAGTGATACGGCAAGAGTTTAGAAATGGCATCGGGGTGAACGTCCGAATCGTTAAGTGACAGCATCTTGGTTTACGTAGTTCGTTTGGCATGGTTCGGTCGGACCTAGAGCAGGTCATTCATGACTCCAAACGAAGCTTCGGGGTTACGGATATAGGAGTGGGACACATATAACCTTAAAAGACAAGGGATGGAGCTTCCTGTATACGCCGCGAATGAGGATGAAAGGTACAATCGAGGAGGCGCGACTTGTGCGACGAAAACGGAAGGACGCACGAGAAAGGATCGTCTTCTCGATTGGCACTCCGACTTCGGCAGAGGCTTGCCGAATCCGTTTCATATGGCTGGGTTGAAAGCCTGTTCTGCGGCTGTTGTCATGTGTCTCAATGCGTTCGTAGGTTAATCCGACGTATAGACCATGATTTGCCTTGTAGACTGTAAGTATAATCGAAACACTTCAGTCTCGTCCGAATCGCAGCGAAACCCGAAAAGCCGACAGTGCCCCCATAGACCCACTTTCGGCCGATCTGGCGCTGTCTCAGCACAATATATATTGCCAACGTACTTCCGAATCCTAAGGATATTGATACATAATAACTTGGATATTGATCTCAAAGGCCTCGGAATACTTTAATGGCTTCGATCATATCGTACCGGTCGCTGGCATGCGCGTCCCGTACCAAAAGTCCGCTCAGGCTGCACGCCGCGTCAGTTACACGGTTTACTATCCTGTATTTTACTGACATCTTCGTAGGACATTAGCTACTGTAGCGGATGGGACACATAACCTTCCATTATCTGGAATTCGTGTGCTCGAGATGGGTCAACTAATCGCAGGTCCTTTCGCAGGTCAACTGCTTGGGTCAGTCCCTGTCTCACTTGTTATTTCTCTGAGGCTAATGAAGTACCGTTCAGGCAATTTGGTGCAGAAATCATCAAGGTGGAGCCTCCCAGAACTGGTGATCCATTGCGCGTTTGGCGTGAACTCGATGAAGATGGTACTAGCCCATGGTTTAGAAGTATAGCACGGAACAAGAAGAGTGTAGCGATCGATATGAGGAAACCGGAAGGTCGAGAGTGCGTCTTTCTTATTT